ATTATCCTTTTATTTGCTTGATTATTTGCGATTGTATTTCTGATGGTTTCCTTTGCACTTCATCGACCTCCGTTTTGCATTTGTTTTGCTGCCAATTAAATTTCATTCAGGTAGTATTTACCAGATTGTTTTTTTTATCTTTTGGTGCCCCTCAGAGACAGACATTCACCTTTGTGTCACATACGGGTAAGTCTGACCTCCTGCATTGGAGCTGGACATATCATCTTTTTTGCTGGAATAGATGCCACGGAAAACAAGGTGACTTGTTAAACTCTTACCTCTTGTTGCTTATTTAGTTCTTTTTCTTGTGCTTGTTTGTTTGTTTATGTTACGAAAGATTGTATTGCGTGACTATCGTGACCTTCTGGAAGCTTCGCGAGAGTTCATAGTTTGTTTATATTCACTTGTGTAAGCGTTTCTTAAAGCAATATACTTGTAATCTTTCCATAAATAGACTATTTAGAAAGTTGTAGACTTTTATTAGGCAAGTATATAGGTAAGGGAGTCCAAGAGAAGTTTTTAACTAGTTTTCACAAGCGAAGAGAGTTTGACGTTTGTCATGTTTAGTCAAGTGTAACGAAGCAGTGTTTATTGAAGTTGGAAGAGGCCGTGTGAGCTTATCAAGTTAAGTGCGGTTGGTGGAGGCCGTGTAAGTTTATCAAATTACGTGCTATTGTAGAGTTTTAATTTACTTCGTGGAAACTTAGTTAATTTTTGGAACAAATCTTTTTATTGCTGTTCCGACAACCCTGAGTTCAGTGTGGTCTGCAAGCTACCCGTCCTCTAAAATATTACCCGCGTAAAAGTTTGTTTGTTCTTTTATTTGGTTCAGCTTCTTATTATTTTGACTCATTGATTTCAGACTACGTAATCGATAGAGTTATTCTCTTTTCTAGTTTGTTTGTCTGTTCGCATGTTTTCTTTGTTTTAGTTTTCATTTGTTCGCTCTGTTTTGTTACGTTCTTTTTTTCCTGTTTTGCGTTTCCGGATTATTATCTCGAAAAATGGCAAATGGTACATATTTACAGATTGTCTATTCCCTGCAGGCTGGTTGTGTAGCTGGGGCAGCTTTTCTGCAGTATTTCCTGATGGCTTCCTTTTGCTGGATGCTTGTCGAGGGCATTTATATCTACTTATTTGTTGTAAAGGTGTACAACATCACCGATAAAATCTATCTTTATCATGGCTTTTGCTGGGGTAAGGCGCAATACCAGTCACAAATTGGATTGGACTTACAGAATGTGGTTATCAAGACATCTTGATTCTGATCGGCTAAAAACCAGTTCAGAAATAGGTATTAGAGGTCAAAGAGTGAAAAAAGATAGTTGCCATAAAAAATCGGCAGAACTCTAAATTTGAACAAACTTTCTTGCAATGGCCATATTCTTTACGTCTCCCAATGAACACACGCACCTTTGGAAATCATTGAATCATCTTGATGGATAACTAAGTTAGGCGTACAGCATTTCCGGAGCTGGTTAGACTTGGTTTAATGCAGAATGTCATCGGCGTCGATCTTATTGGCCAAAACACGCAGCTATTTTGTAATTAGATGCGTTTTAGTCATGTTATACCCACAAGCAAAAGGTTTCAAAGGTGAACGATAAAAAAACGAAATCGACTTTAAATTTCACATTTTCACATGATAAGAGAGGAGCATCGGTTTATTCAA